AGGAACATTAGTGGGTGTGTGGGGTAGGTATCCTATACGTGCATTGCAACGCATGAGTATCCCACAGGTACCCAAACCCATACTATATTTAGGCCTTTGTCTTGGGTTGGGCTTTTCGGGCCAAGTTGTTCCTTAGCAATGAGGTCTGTTACCTTTCGCATTTCTGGCACCTTCTGGTGTCGTTCCCTCCTAGGCCGAGAATTGTGCCTGATGGATTAGGCCTCGCTAGTTGATACTTGGTCGGGAACAGAGTAGCTTGGAGTATCACTGTTTTACAATTGCTTTCTCTCATTTCCCAGAATTTCAGCTACACTTGTCTGCTTCTTACACCCCTCTGGTTTAGGTGTTTTACCAGCAAGGATCGCATCACACACTGGCTTAAAAAAGGAGGTAAAATTGTGGAACAAAGACTAATGTAATAGAAGGATATGCTAGCAAAAGACGCCATATGGGAAAACATGGTTGATCTCATTGCTCAATTTCCCAACCTTGAGAACAAAGTCGCTCAAAAAGGGGGGGAGTGATGTTAGGATCCAAATATCCAAACGGGTACCCACAAGGAACCCAAAGTACCAGGATTGAAGTAGGTGACCAAGTCAACTGCACGTGTAGCCTTCAGTTCCTTCATCCCTACAGAACCGGTCAACAATATTCCTACTCAGCTCTCTCCACAATCGAAGTGTCCACTCATCCCTTATCTTTTATTTCAATTTCATGTTCGTAGACATAGGAATTTATCTTTATCTTGTAACTCATTTTATGTGTATTTAAGAACTTTCAGATATTGAAAAAGATAGTGAATAACAATCTCAAATTTCTGGTTTAGTTTCTCACTTAAGCAGAAAAGCTATTTTTCTTTTTAATCCTTGCTTTGATTGGGACCTAACAGAAAACAATTAAGAATACAAACTCATCAAATTCAATAACTTCCTTTACCATGTTGATGAATAATTCTAAAGCATCCTTTTGTCTTCCAGCTACAGTGTAACCCTGGTATTCTTGTCCAAGCTAAAACTTTCTTGTGACTCATCTGATCAAAAACAAGCTCAGCACTCTCTATCCATCCACATTTCATGTATATGTTTGAGACTGTTATCTTAATAGAAGAATTGGTACATAAACCAGCTTTTATGACATGTGAATGCATCTACTTGCCAACTTCTGAAACAGAAGAACTTAACAAAAAAAATTCAACATGCAGATATAGATAGATGAATTTGGTTTAGTTCATAACTAAAATATAAGTGAAAAGAACCCAAAAGCTTTATTAAGAATACCCATATCTGCATAAGCGATATAACTATAACCCATGAGAGCAAATTCCTGGACACCATTTCATCGAATAGCTTCTGTGCATTTGGTAAACTTCTACATACACAATACATTTGCAGAAGGCAAATTGTCAAGAAACACTAATGGTTCCATTACCATTTGTCACAACTGATAATGTATGAATTTCTCATATGATAATGATTTTAATTTTTTACAAGCATCGAGGAGGCATCCATACGAATTTAGCTAATAAAAACACTGATATTGTCTATTTCTTTGAGAAATTTAGAAGTCTCTTTGAGCTTCTCTTGCTTAGATAAAGAGACCAAATGCAAATTCTCAGTCTGACATTGTTGATTTTGTAGAATTTTCATGAGAGAATGATAGCACTTGAGGGAGACCCATGAAGAGATTTGTGTAAATTCTGCATAAGCTTTTAATGAAATTTTATCATTCGTAACTACTTTGGAATTGCAAAGTTGACAAGCAATACGGCAATCATTCCAACAAAATTCAACGCAACTTTGAAGCCTAAGAATTACAAAACGAATATAAGGTAAAATTACAACCATGATATTACTTGTAGAATTAAACATTGAGTATCACACTGATAAAATTACAGTACTTTGAACTTTGATATTCAAGTTTATCCATGAAAAAACTACTCCACTAGAACCTACTTTCTTGTTACACTACAAATAACTCTAAAGAAATTTTTTAAGTGCGTTTATTAATTAGAAAAAAAATGATATTGATTAAAAAGAATGACAAGTACAAGAATATAACAATGATGGTCTCTAAGTACATTTATTAATTACGTGTTTATCACTTATTTTTTTAAGTAAAAAATGCATACATTGATAATGCACCAATTATAATATAACACCAAGAACCTTTAAATGAGGATATACAAATGAGTATAATTTAATTCAAACTCTAAACTTCTGGTAAAAGAAAAAATGTATTAATTATTAAGTTAAACAGTAATTTATTACATGTGTATTACTATTTAATCTCATTACTAGGTGCTAAATTTTCTCTAAATTATGTATCAAGCTAGCAATAAAAAGGAGGTATGCTTGTTTTTTAAATATTTTAATGGTCATCCATTTGTCTAAACTAATGAATTAACAAATAAAAAATGAAATGGAAACTGAAGCTTATACTCACAACCAACAAAATAGAACAACTTCACACTTTCAGCTCTCACGCCGCCTTCTTCCTCTTGCAGTGAGAAATCGGTGAAAACAAATGGTGGAGAGGTTCTTCTTTGTCAACCAAATTCAAAGCGATGACCCATTACACAACATAATGCTTCTTTCCGGTCCTCCTTCCTGGTATTTCTC